GGTATCAGGTGTAGCTGAGGTAAACGGTGTACGTAGGGGAGCAGGTGTAACTGGTGTAGCTGGTCTAGATTGGGTAGCTGGTGTAGCTACGCTAGCTGGTGTATCTGGGGTAGATGGTGTAGCTGGAGTACCTGGTGTAGGTGGTGTAGCTGGGGTACCTTGACTAGTGTAGAAGGTGCAACTAGTAAAAGAACCTGCAGAAACTCGATCCGGTGTTTTTCGAAGCTGATTTACATTTGATTCGCTTTGTTCTTTCTCACTGGTAGAATCCGAGTCTAAAAGTATATTTTGTAATTATACGAATTAAAAACGCATTTGTCCTAAAAATACCTGTTTCTATGTCTGTAGAATTCGTCGATTCACTGTAATTATTGTTCTCATTCAGATCATCTGAATCTAAAAATATATTTTTAATAATTAAATGATGAGAGTTTCAACCGCTTAAAATTTGATTAATTAAACAGTTAAATAAAAAATCAATAAAAATAAAATCAATATTCCAACATCAGAATCGAACCGCGAAAACGCAAAAATATTGTACAACACATAAAATTATGGACTCATCAACTAAAACGGCTTCATTTTTTGATACATACCAGGGATCTGCTCCAATCGACAAAAGGAAATCACAAGCTGAGAACTGAGTCTCAATAGATCGCAGTGTGAAAACTGCTGCACAAGGTACCACATATTGAAGAATGCAATAATAGGAAAGCTGACATTGAAATATCAAAAAAGCGTCGTTGCTATGAACAGTTGGCCGCCACACCCCTGTAGTAAATTTATTTTAACAGATATTGCGAAGATTGAGTAAAGACATCTCTAAATAACATTGTAAGCTATTATTAGTATTATTCTATTTTCGTGTAATAAAAAGTCGCCAACTTTCAAATTAAGTATGAGACATCTTATCATATCATCAAATAATCAATGAATTTTATTACTTCGTGTAAAGAATGCTAATTTTCTCAAATATTATTATTACATGTGTAGCCTGCATTTATTTGTTTGCCATAAGTTGTTAATTTAAGCTGTACCAATTATTTGTTTATTCATATTTGTAATAAGGCTTGAAGTGTGAAGCTTGAGCTCGTAGTAATATTGGGTTTGGTGGTTTTATTTACATCCAGAACTTCATTTCGTTCCTTTATAACCGGAACTTAATTTCTCTGCTGATCAAAATTCTGTTTATTATTATTCGAGCAAAAGAAAAACATCGTTTGTGGTAAGCCTCTCAGAGAAAAATAGACAAGACATATAGCGACCTAAAGTCCACTCTAATCACCAGCACCAAGGCCAAAACCAAACACTAACCCGGGTAGAAAAAAAAGTAAATTCAGACACTCGATCCAGTAATTGGCAGCCACTCGATCCAGTTATCAGCAACCACCACATCCAGTTATTAGTAGTATACAATCCACAAGGAGCGTCCAGCTAAATTTGTAAGTCTGAATATTTCATTTATAGTGCAACAAATATAACTTTAATTCAAATTAATGATTCGGAAGTACGCTTTCTGTTTGCAAAATTTGCTTTTTCTGTCCAGTGCATCTCAAAATAACTAACATAATTTATAAAAATAATCTATACGTCAGTATTAGCGGTATAACTTTTTTTTTCAATTAATCTTATTCAATTATTAACGAACGGTTTTGTAATAAAAATTTGAATTGCTTTGAATTAATTGAAATAATGTAACGAAAAAATTAGTTCAATTAAACAATACATTTATGATAACCAACATAAAATAAAGTAATAGCAATTTTCCATATGTTGAAAATTTAAATAAAGCTGATTACTCAAATATCTTCCAATACCTACGAACAAAATTGTCCTTGCTATTAGGATATTATATAATATCGGTAGAAATTAAATAATATGCTGAGGTACCTGGAGTAGCTGGTGTAGCTCGGGTAGCTAGTGCAGCTGTTGTATCTGGTGTAGCTACGGTAGCTGGTGTATCTGGGGTAGATGGGGTACCTGGTGTAGCTGGGGTAGCTAGTGCAGCTGGGTTAGCTGGTGTAGCTGGGTTAGCAGATGTAGCTGGGGTAGCTGGTCTATCTGGTGTACTTAACGTAGATTGGGTAGCTAGTGTAGCTGGTGTAGTTGGGGTACCTTGACTAGTGTACAAGCTGCAACTAGTAAAAGAACTTGCAGAAACTTGTTCCGGTATTTTTCGAAGCTGATTTACATATGATTCGCTTTCTTCTTCCTCACTGGTAGAATCCAAGTCTAAAAGTATATTTTGTAATTATACGAATTATGAAAGCATTTGTCGTAAAAATACCTGTTTCTATGTCTGTAGAATTCATCGATTCACTGTAATTGTCCTTCTTATTCAGATTATCTGAATCTAAAAATATATTTTTAATAATCAAATCATGAAAGTTCCAACCGCTTAAAATTTGATTAATTAAGTATAAATATTGTCAAGAAGATATACTTGCATAGACAGTGGCCGGATAAATGACCTGTGATTACGAATAACCTAACACTGATGATAGTCTCCCTTTTACTTAAATATACTCGAACGCCTTAAGGCTGTAAACGGGATTTGAATTGAATGACTTGATACTAGATTTTTAAATATCGGACAAAGTTCTCCAAAACGCATCGCTTGCCTGAAGTCAATCGTAACTTTAACCAGAATTATCAAATAAAAAATCAGTTAAATCAAAATCATCATTTCAACATCAGAATCGAACCGCGAAAACAGAAAAATATCATTGTACAACACATAAAATTATGGCCTCATCAACTAAAACGGCTTCATGTTTTAATACATACCAGGGATCTAGTCGACAAGACGAAATCACAAGCTCAGAACTGAGTCTCAATAGATCGCAGTGTGAAAGCTGCTTCACCAGGTACCACATATAGACGAATGAAATAATACAAAACCTGACATTGAAAGATCAAAAAAGCGTCGTCGCTATGAACAGTTGGCCGCCACACCTATAAAAAATTTATTTTAACGAATGTTGCGCAGGTTGAGTATGGACAAATCTGAATAACACTGTAAGCAAGCTATGTTAGTATTATTCTATTTTCGTGTAATAGAAAGTGGCTAACTTTTAAATGACGTAACAAAATTGTACTTGCTAATTGGCATATGTGATATTGGTAGAAAGTAAATGATAAGCTGATGTACGTACCTGGGGTAGCTGGTGTAGCAGGTGGAGCTGGTGTAGCTGTGGTAGCTTGTGTAGCTGAGGTAGCCGCCGTAGCTGGTCTAGTTGCGATAGCTGGTGTAGCTACGGAAGCTGGTGGATCTGGGGCAGCTGGTGTAGCTGGGATATCTGGTGTAACTGGGCTAGCTAGTGTATCTGGTGTACCTGGGGTACCTTGACTAGTGTACAAGCTGCAGCTAGTAAAAGAACCTACAGAAACTCGTTCCGGCGTTTTTGGAAGATGATTTACATCTGATTCGCTTTGTTTTTCCTCACTGGTAGAATTCGAGTCTAAAATTATATTTTGTAATTATACCAAATATGAAAGCATTTGTCCTAAAAATACCTGTTTCCATGTCTGTAGAAATATAATTCATCGATTCACTGTAATTGCTCTTCTCATTCAGATCGTCTGAATCTAAAAATATATTTTTAATACTTAAATTATGAAATTTTCAATCGCTTAACATTTGATTGATTAAGTATACATATTGTCACTAAGCTAAACTTTCACAGACAGTGGTCGGATAATTGACATGAGGTTAAGTATAAACTAACACTGATGATAGGTCTGTGTTTTAGTTAAATATACTAAAACGGCTTAGGACTGTAAACGTGAATTGAATTAAATGAGTTTATTCTAGAGTCTTAAATATTAGACGGAGTTCTGCAAAACGCTTCGCTTGCGTGAAATCAATTGCAACTTCAACCAGACTTATAAACAGTTAAATAAAAAACCAGTTAAATTAAAACCATCATTCCAACATCAGAATCGAACCGCCAAAACGCAAAAATATCATTGTACAACACATAAAATTATGGCCTCAACTAAAACAGCTTTATTTTTTAATACATACCAGGGGTCTGCTCTAATCAACAAGACGAATTCACAAGCTAAGAACTGCGTCTCAATGGATCGCAGTGTGAAAACTGCTGCACCGGCAACCACACATTGACGAATGTAATAATAGAAAAGCTGACATCAAAAGATCAAAAAAGCGTCTTATAATTAGCATTATTCTATTTTCGTATAATAAAAAGTCGCTAACTTTTAAATTACGTATGCCACATCTTAAAAATATGGCCATCCAAAATATTAGTGCAACAATGTGAAGTAAAAAAATCACATCAACACACATTGTTTAACTTATCAATGAAACAATGAATTTTATTACCTCGTGTAAAGAATGCTAATTTTCTCAAATTATTATTGTATGTGTAGCCTGCAATTATTTGTTTGCCACAAGTTGTTGATTTAAGCTGTAATAATTATTTGTTTATTCATATTAGTAATAAAGCTTGAAGTGTGAAGCTTGACTTCGTTGTAATATTGGGTTTGGTGGTTTTCTACATCCAGAACTTCATTTATTTCATTTACAGCCAGTACTTAATTTCTCTTCTGATAAAAATTCTGTTTATTATCATTTGAGCAAAAAGGAAAACATCGTTTGTGGTAAGTCTCTCAGAGAAGATTAGACAAGCCATATAGCGATATACGGAATTTGGTTTTTCTGCCCAGTGCATTTCAAAAAAATTTATAAAAATAATCTAACCCTCAGTACGAGCGATATAACTTTTTTTTTTCAATTAATCTTATTTAATTATTAACCAGCGGTTTTATAAAAAAACATCTTTTGAACATTTGAATTGTTCTGAATTAAATGAAATAATGTAATGCAAAAACTGGTTCAATTACACAATACATTTATAATAACCAACAGAAAATAAAGCAATATCAATTCTCCATAAGTTGAAAATTATACAATATAACCATAAGTTGATTACTCAAATACCTTCCAATACCACGAACACACAACAAAATTGTCCTTGCTAATTGGCACATGTAATATTGGTAGAAAGTAAATAATAAGATGATGTATCTGGGGTAGCTGGTGTAGCTGGGGTAGCTGTTCTAGCTGGAGTAGCTACTGTAGCTAGGATAGCTGGTGTAGTTGGTGTAGCTGGGGAGGCTGATGTAGCTGGGGTAACTGGTGTAGCTGGTCTAGCTGGTGTACCTGGTGTAGATGGGGTAGCTAGTGTAGCTGGTGTAGCTGGGGTACCTTGACTAGTGTACAAGCTGCAACTAGTAAAAGAACTCGCAGAAATTCGTTCCGGCTTTTTGCGAAGCTGATTTAAATCTGATTCGCTTTGTTCTTCGTCACTGGTAGAATCCAAGTCTCAAAGTATATTTTGTAATTATACGAATTATGAAAGCATTTGTCGTAAAAATGCATGTTTCTATGTCTGTAGAATTCATCGATTCACTGTAATTGTTCTTCTTATTCAGATCATCTGAATCTAAAAATATATTTTTAATAATCAAATCATGAAAGTTCCAACCGCTTAAAATTTGATTAATTAATATAAATATTGTCAAGAAGATAAACTTGCACAGACAGTAGCCGGATAAATGACCTGTGATTACGTATAACCTAACACTGATGATCCGTCTTAGTTTTACTTAAATATACTCGAACGCCTTAAGGCTGTAAACGGGAGTTGAATTGAATGACTTGATTCTAGATGCTTAAATATCGGACAAAGTTCTGCAAAATGCACCGCTTGCTTGAACTTTATCCAGAATTATAACCAGCTAAATAAAAAAACAATTAAATTAAAATCATCATTCCATCATCAGAATCGAACCGCGAAAACACAAAAATATTGTACAACACATAAAATTATGGCCTCATCAACTAAAACGGTTTCATGTCTTAATACATACCACAGGTCTGCTCTAGTCGACAAGACGAAATCACAAGCTCAGAACTGATTCTCAATAGATCGCAGTGTGAAAACTGCTTCACCAGGTACCACATATAGACGAATGAAATAATACAAAAGCTGACATTGAAAGATCAAAAAAGCGTCGTCGCTATGAACAGTTGGCCGCCACTCCTATAAAAAATTTATTTTAACAGATGTTGCGCAGGTTGAGTATGGACAAATCTGAATAACACTGTAAGCAAGCTATGTTAGTATTATCCTATTTTCGTGTTATAAAAAGTCGCTGACTTTTAAATGACGTAAAAAAATTGTACTTGCTAATTGGCACATGTGATATTGGTAGAACGTAAATAATAAGCTGATGTACCTGGGGTAGCTGGTGTAGCAGCTGTAGCTTGGGTAGGTGGTGTAGCTGGGGCAGCTAGGGTAACTGGTGTAGCTAGGGTAGCTGGTGTAATTGGTGTAGCTCGTCTAGCTAGTGTAGCTACGTTAGCTGGTGTATCTGGGACAGCTGGTGTAGCTGGGATATCTTGTGTAGCTGGGCAAGCTAGTGTAGCTGGTGTACCTGGGGTACCTTGACTAGTGTACAAGCTGCAACTAGTAAAAGAACCTGCAGAAACTCGTTGCTGCATTTTTGGAAGATGATTTACATCTGATTCGCTTTGTTTCTCCTCACTGGTAGAGTTCGAATCTAAAATTATATTTTGTAATTATACGAAATATGAAAGTATTTGTATTAAAAATACCTGTTTCCATGTCCGTAGAGATAGACTTCATCGATTCACTGTAATTGTTCTTCTCATTGAGATCATCTGAATCTAAAAATATATTTTTAATACTTAAATCATAAAATTTTCAATAGCTTAACATTTGATTAAGTATACATATTGTCACGAAACTAAACTTGCAGACAGTGGTCGGATAAATGACACGATATTACATATAATTTAACACTGATGATAGATCTTTGTTTCACTTAAATATACTAAAACGCCTTAGGACTGTAAACGTGACTTGAATTAAATGACTTTAGTCTAGAGTCTTAAACATCGGACGAATTTCTGCCAAACACTTCGCTTGCTTGAAATGAATTGCAACTTCAACCAGAATTATGACCAGTTAAATAAAAAAACCAATTAAATTAAAATCATGATTCCAACATTCTCAATAGATCGCAGTGTGAAAACTGCTTCACCAGATATCACATATAGACCAATGAAATAATAGAAAAGCTGACATTGACAGATCAAAGAAGCGTCGTCGCTATGAACAGTTGGCCACCAACCCTATAAAAAATTTATTTTTACAGATATTGCGCAGGTTAAGTATGGACAAATCTGAATAACACTGTAAGCAATCTATGTTAGTATTATTCTATTTTCGTGTTATAAAAAGTCGCTAACTTTTAAATGACGTAACAAAATTGAACTTGCTAATTGGCATATGTGATATTGGTAGAAAGTAAATAATACGCTGATGTACCTGGGCTAGCTGGTGTAGCAGGTGTAGCTGGGGTAGGTGGTGTAGCTGGGGCAGCTGGTCTAGCTGGAGTAGCTACGGTAGCTGGTGGATCTGGGACAGCTGGTGTAGCTGGGATATCTGGTGTAGCTGGGCAAGCTAGTTTTGCTGGTGTATCTGGAGTAACTTGACTAGTGTACAAGCTGCAACTAGTAAAAGAACCTGAAGAATCTCGTTCCTGCGTTTTTGTAAGATGATTTACATCTGATTCGCTTTGTTTCTCCTCAATGGTAGAATCCGAATCTAAAATTCTATTTTGTAATTATACGAAATATGAAAGCATTTTGACTAAAAATACCTGTTTCCGTGTCTGTAGAATTATTCATCGATTCACTGTAATTGTTCTTCTCATTCAGATCATCTGAATCTAAAAATATATTTTTAATATTTCAATCATGAAATTTTCAATCGCTTTACCTTTGATTGATTAAGTATACATATTGTCACGAAGCTTAACTTGCAGACAGTGGTCGGATAAATGAGATGAGGTTACATATAATTTAACACTGATGATAGGTCTTTGTTTCACTTAAATATACTAAAACGCTTTAGGACTGTAAACGTGACTTGAATTAAATGATCTTATTCTAGAGTCTTAAATATCGGACGAAGTTTTGCACAACACTTCGCTTGCTTGAAATCAATTGAAACTTCAACCAGAATTATAACCAGTTAAATAAAAAAACCAATAAAATCATCATTCCAACATCAGAATCGAACCGCCAAAACGCAAAAATATCATTGCACAACACATAAAATTATGGCCTCATCAACTAAAACGGCTTCATGTTTTAATACATACCAGGGTTCGCTCTAGTCGACAAGACGAAATCACAAGCTCAGAACTGAGTCTCAATAGATCGCAGTGTGAAAACTGCTTCACCATGTACCACATATAGACGAATGATATAATGAAATAAAGAAAAGCTGACAATGACAGATCAAAAAAGCGTCGTCGCTATGAACAGTTGGCCGCCACCCCTATAAAAAATTTATTTTAAAAGATGTTGCGCAGGTTGAGTATGGACAAATCTGAATAACACTGTAAGCAAGCTATACTAGTATTATTCTATTTTCGTGTAATAAAAAGTCGCTAACTTTTAAATGACCTAACAAAATTGTCCTTGCTAATTGGCATATGTGATATTGGTAGAAAGTAAATAATAAGCGGATGTACCTGTGGTAGCTGGTGTAGCAAGTGTAGCTGGGGTAGGTGGTGTAGCTGGGGTAGCTGGTCTAACTGGAGTAGCGCTTGAAGCTGGGGTAGCTGGTGTAGCTACGGTAGCAGGTGTATCTGGGGTAGCTGGTGTAGCTAGGGTACCTGGTGTAGCTGGTGTATCTGGTGGATCTGGGACAGCTGGTGTAGTTGGGATATCTGTTGTAGCTGGGGTAGCCAGTGTAGCTGGTGTACCTGGGGTACTTTGACTAGTGTACAAGCTGCAACTAGTAAAAGAACCTGCAAAAACTCGTTCCTGCGTTTTTGGAAGATGATTTACATCTGATTCGCTTTGTTTCTCCTCACTGGTAGAATCCGAGTCTAAAATTATATTTTTTAATTATACAAAATATGAAAGCATTTGTCCTAAAAATACCTGTTTCCATGTCTGTAGAAATTGAATTCATCGATTCACTGTAATTGTTCTTCTCATTCAGATCATCTGAATCTAAAAATATAATACTTCAATCATGAAATTTTTATTCGCTTAACCTTTGATTGATTAAGGATACATATTGTCACGAAGCTTAATTTGCAGACAGTGGTCGGATAAATGACATGAGGTTACATATAATCTAACACTGATGATAGGTCTTTGTTTCACTTAAATATACTAAAACGCCTTAGGACTGTAAACGTGACTTGAATTAAATGACCTTATTCTAGAGTCTTAAATATCGGACGAAGTTCTGCAGAACACGTTGCTTGCTTGAAATCAATTGAAACTTTAACCAGAATTATAGCCAGTTAAATAAAAAAAACCAATTAAATTAAAATCATCGTTCCAACATCAGAATCGAACCGCCAAAACGCAAAAATATCATTGTATAACACATAAAATTATGGCCTTATCAACTAAAGCGGCTTCATGTTTTAATACATACCAGGGGTCTGCTCTAGTCGACAAGACGAAATCGCAAGCTCAGAACTGATTCTCAATAGATCGCAGTGTGAAAACTGCTTCACAAGGTACCACATATTGAAGAATGCAATAATAGGAAAGCTGACATTGAAATATCAAAAAAGCGTCGTCGCTATGAACAGTTTTGGCCGCCACACCCCTGTAGTAAATTTATTTTAACAGATATTGCGAAGATTGAGTAAAGACATCTCTAAATAACATTGTAAGCTATTATTAGTATTATTCTATTTTCGTGTAATAAAAAGTCGCCAACTTTCAAATTACGTATAAGACATCTTATCATATCATCAATTAAACAATGAATTTTATTACCTTGTATAAAGAATGCTAATTTTCTTAAATATTATTCCTTCATGTGTAGCCTGCATTTATTTGATTGTCATAAGTTGTCAATTTAAGCTGTACCAATTATTTGTTTATTCAGATTTGTAATAAGGCTTGAAGTGTGAAGCTTGACCTCGTAGTAATATTGGGTTTGGTGGTTTTACTTACATCCAGAACTTCATTTCGTTCCTTCATAACCGGAACTTAATTTCTCTGCTGATCAAAATTCTGTTTATTATTATTCGAGCAAAAGAAAAACATCGTTTGTAGTAAGCATCTCAGAGAAGAATAGACAAGCCATATAGCGATCTAAAGTCCACTCTAATCACCAGCACCAAGGCCCAAACCAGACACTAACCCGGGTAGAAAAAAAAAGTAAATTCAGACACTCGATCCAGTAATTGGCAGCCACTCTATCAAGTTATTAGTAGTGTTACGATTTTAAATGTTATGGCATATAGAACTGTAAATATTTTATGACTTATTCTTTTTTTATTGATTCTCGTAATTTGTAGGTCAAAATCTACCTGAGCTTCGATACCAGTTATTTACAGAAATATCTAGACCCTTCTACAAGAAAGGTCGAGTATTCAGGTAACCATGAATGCAGTCGACGGCCGAGAATGACTCACCTAATGGATGGAAAGATCGATGCCTAGCCAGATTTCTCTAGATAACGGCATTTTGATGTATAAATAACGGTGATCCTCATTGAGGGGCGGTCAGTCATAAGAAGCTCGGGAACCGCGATATTTAAATGTAACGAAACATAAATTATTATTTGTAATATAAATTAGGATAAATAAAGACTTTAATAAATTCGTAATTAGTTATCGAGAGTTTTAATAAATTAGAATATAGACAATAAATTAGAATAAAGACAAATAAACTAGAACAATATAAATATATATCACAGTGGTGTCGGTGTGGGATTTGAATATAAATCAAACAGTGATTTTTGAAAAAGACTTTTGAATTCTTGAAAAGACTTTTGAACTTTTGAAAATTATTGTTCATCGGGAACATCCGCGTATTTCGGTAGTGATCGTTGTACGAAAGAACATTTAAAAAAGTACGTGTGTGCTTGACCAAAGATGCTGCTAGTAGAACTTTCAGTGAAACAGTTGCGTGAGCAACTAGAAGAACGCGATGAAGACTGCAGCGGGTCCAAGAAGATCCTCCAAGAACGACTGAAGACTGTTATCAACAAGAATGGAGACGACCCAGAGACATTCCAGTTCCAGTCAGCAGAAGAAGCCGTTTTAACGAAAATAATTGATGGAAAATTCGAGACTGTTTCCAAAAGATTCGATGAAACGTCTCAAATGATCGAAGAAACTTCTCAAATTATTAAAGAAACAGCTAGACAAAACGACGAGAAATTTGAAAATATGTCTAGAAGATTCGACGAAGTATGTATCCAGAATAGTGAGAAGTTTGAAGAAGTCTCTAAAACATTTGATAAAGTTGAAGAGAAAATCAAACAGTTAGAGACCATGATAACTAACACGAGAGGGCTACCACCAATTAATACGGTAGTTTTAGATCCGGTAGAGATAAAAGAAGACGAGACGAAATGTAAGTTGGAAACACGGCCAAAATTTGAAGGAAGCGGAGGTTATGTTCATGTCAAAGTTCCAACTTTCGACGGAAAATCGTCATGGAACAACTACATGAAACAGTTCGAATCAGCTGCAAGAGCGAATGGATGGTCAGAAAAAGAAAAGGCTGTAAACCTGACTATAGCTCTTCGAGGAGATGCCTTAGATGTGCTCCAGACCATAGCCGTAGAGGAGACGGATGATTTCGAACAACTGAAAAAGAGGTTAAATATGCGATATGGCCACGAACACTTGGAATATGTATATCAGTCGCAGCTCAAAAATCGAAGACAAAAGAAAGATGAGGCTCTTCAAGAATATGAAGTAGATATCGCCAGATTAGTGCGATATGCTTATCCAACAGCTCCCGAAGACATGATGGAAAAGTTGGCCATTCAAACGTTTATTGATGGTCTTCGTGATCATGAAATGCAGAGAACACTACGATTAGCTCGTCACAAGACGCTGATGGATGTCTTATCTGCCGCCCTCGAATACGAGTCAGCTACGCAGGCCTCTGGCGGGTATAGCAAAGTTAGGACTGTAAAAGAGGAAGGAGATGAAGATACACTTGACCAGCTCGTTAATATGATGAAAAGCATGACATACAAGAAAACGAAGACCATAAGATGCTGGAATTGTGGCGAAATAGAACACGTACGAAGTTCATGTAAGCATCCTAGGTACGACACAAATCAAGAAACTCACCATCAGGAAAACTAGAACGGGTCGGCCTTAGGGGGGCAGCTTCGACCCAGAACTTTTCCAAAGACCCTCTCATACTAATAGCTTCTTTGAAATGTCGTGAAGATAGTGTATATGTAGATGGAGAAATAAATGGTAAAAAGCATACGTTGTTGGTGGATACTGGAGCGACCAGAACCATTATACGCCCGACAGTTATAAACAGCCGAAAGAAACTGTTACCAACGAGGTTGCGACTTCGGACCGCCACAGGTGAAAATGCCAACATTCATGGAGAAATCCAGGTACAATTAGGAATTGGAGCAGAAAAGTTCGTCCATACTGTTATAGTTGCTGACATCGAAGAGGATGTTATATTAGGAATGGACGTAATGAATACGCATGGATTCCAATTGGATTTTAAGAATAAGGTCATCAAAGCTGGTAACGAGGAGGTATTTCTCCATCCACATGATGACAACACTATGCAAGCAGCCGTTAAAGAAGATACAGTCGTGCCTGCGAGAAGTGAAACGATAATAGTAGCGCGGCTACAGGGAATTGTGGACGAAGGAACACCTGTTATGATGGAGTCTTGGAATCATGACGACGAAGTTGGCCGTGTAATCATAATTGGAAAAGAATTAGTGACTTCGGCTAAAGAAATTCCTGTGAGACTTATTAATGTCAATGACTACCCAGTGACCATCAAGAAAGAGACAAAAGTAGGAACTTGTGTACCTGTCACATCCATAATCCGTCAGACGACAACGTCTGATAATTCCAACGATAAATTTGATCAAATGGTTGCGGTTGCTGGACAGTCTCTGAATCAGATTGAGAAAAGGAAATTAAGGGAATTTCTTCGGCAGTATCGTGATATTTTCGTACGGAAAGGAGGAAAGACGGGAAGAACTACCGTTGTTAAGCATAAAATTGATACTGGTAATGCTAAGCCGATTCGTCAAACAGCTCGACGATTACCACAGGCGAAAAGAGAGGAAGCTGAAACGATTGTTCAGGAAATGAAGAAAGACGGGGTGATAGAACCTTCTACGAGCCCATGGGTCTCTCCGGTAGTCCTGGTTAAGAAGAAAGACGGAACAACGAGGTTCTGTGTGGATTACCGTTTGCTGAACAACGTTACCAAGAAAGATAGTTATCCTCTGCCTCGGATTGATGACACATTAGACACATTGGCTGGAAGTAAATTATTTTCTACTTTGGATTTGAAGTCTGGATACTGGCAGGTAGAAATGGACCCGGTAGATAAAGAAAAGACAGCCTTCACCACAGGATCTGGATTATGGCAATTCAACGTTATGCCATTTGGACTTTGTAACGCTCCTGCGACATTCGAGAGGCTTATGGAAAATGTGTTGAGAGGGTTATCTTGGAAAACATGCCTAGTTTATCTAGATGACATAATCGTCTTGGGGGAGACATTTGAAGATCATCTGAAGAATTTAGAAAACGTTTTTAATCGACTTAAAGCTGCCCAATTGATGTTAAACCCTAAGAAGTGCCAGCTATTTCAAGGTAAAGTCAATTATCTGGGTCATATAGTCAGTAAAGAAGGAGTGGCTGTGGATAAGGGAAAAATTGATTCCATTAAGGAATGGCCAAAACCAACTGACAAACACCAAGTGAGAAGTTTTCTGGGACTATGTACTTACTACCGGAGGTTTATTAAGAAGTTTGCAGATATCGCTAAACCATTAATGCGACTTACAGAGGAAGCAAGAGAATACCGCTGGGATGTAGACTGCCAGAATGCCTTTGAAACCTTAAAAAAGCATTTAATCACAGCGCCAATTTTAGGGTATCCACTGCCAGAAGGAGAGTTCATCTTAGATACAGATGCAAGTAATGTGGGATTTGGAGGAGTGCTGTCTCAGATTCAAGGAGGACAGGAAA